GAAGTCACGTGACCCTGTGACGATACGCGTAGGGGAGGGGCTCTGACGTCACGACATTGCACTGGAGAGGCTCGGTGATCTGAATACAGACACAGGTAGACAGCACTGCAGGAACAGAGGCAGAGCACATTTATGCTGGACTACAATTGTATACTACTGTGCAACTGGCAGCAATAAACCCCCTTTTTTCACAAGGATAAGACACTATGGTCTGTTTGTCTTCCTTTCTCAATTGAACAACACCCTTTGAGCTGATATAAGGAGGACTGGAAAAGGAAACAGCCCCAGGAGGGGAATTGGGAGATCCTCAGAGAGATGGTCAGTATACCCACTCATGAGCAGCTACAGGAGAACAAATATAAATCCACATCCACCTTCTGAGATAATTCAAGAGCATCATTCCATCCCATCTATCCTGGAAGGATAAAAAGTGTATTTGCCTGGATTTATTCAGGCAAATATAGAGGTGAGCACATAGGGAGACCATTAAGCACTCGGCGAGAGGGAACCAAGAATCCACCTGCACATTTATTTTGAAAGACTTTTTTTTTTTTTTTTTTTTTTTTTTTTTTTGAATATATCATAAGCACGTGCACATAATATATATGTGTTTGCACAATATAAATATAAGGATCACAGTAGAATAGAGGAGTATTTCTGATTTGTATATCACTGTACTTTAATAGGCACTATCACCTTAGGATTATCAGTTATTAATGTCACTTGCATGAAGATTAATATTCACAATGATGTTTTGAGTCACTAGTAATAATTGTTTGATACATGCAGTATCTTGAAAGCTATTCATTAGCACTTTGAAAGTATAAGATATACATATTGGTACATGGGAGCGCGGCACTATCTATTTTGAAAATATTATATATACACTAGCATATGAGTCAGTGCAAGTGCCAGCGAACCTCACGTGAGAAATAAGGACATCTAAAGTCACATATTGAACACCTCATTTCATAATAGCTCACAAGCATTCACCATTTATATGACATCATAGGTCCTCTTCTTGTGTGCCTACAATTGTGGTCACAGGTTGAATGACATGTTGCTGTTCTATGCCGTTGTGATTCCGAGCCAGTGTGATGATGCACCCCCCATGGGTTGGATCTATGCCCCCATCCCCCCCCCTCGAATTCCCAGGAAATGACAGTGTAATATGTTCTGAACAAAGCAGGACAGTAGACCTACAGATCTTGTCTGTGATTGGACAGTTAAAACCCAACTCCAGGAACACTTAAAGATTATCTCCTGCAGTGAGACTGTAGCAGTGCCGCAAGTCTTATGTGCTTGCTTATGTCTATGGGATATAGAATAGAAGATCTACTTAACCAATACCCAGTCCATAGCCCTGCATTGGATGTAATGACGCCAAGGGACAGTCCACCACTGAAATGTGGGGGGAGCAAGCATGTTACGGCAATGAGACGCTCAGGCCGCAGTAAGACATTTGAATGTTGTAAACATTTCAAAGATGGCCATCCGTCAGTGATGATACTGGCCATGGCGGTTCCCAGCCCACAGCAGTCATTCCCGTGAACCTTCAGCGCGTGGAGCTCCTGATCCTGGATCATCGACCCATAACCTGTCATGAAATCGCTCAAGAGATTAATCTTTCTGCGGGAACGGTGAACACAACAATGAAGAGGTGAAGCCGGCTGTCCTAGGATGGTTCGGGGGTCCTGACAAATCTTTCAATGTCGAAGTTTTCCAGGCACGAGTTAAACGCTGGGATAAGTGTGTAAATGTAGCAGGGGAGGATGTCGAAAAATAGATGCAGTTTTCGCTCCTTTTGAAATTTGTTCTTTTATTATATAAACTCAAAAGAACGCCCCCTTGTACTATACACCATCACTGGTGGGGAAGGGGTTAACATTTTGGGGTAATCATTAGTTAAGTGTGTTCCTAACAAGTGTTAATTTGTGTAACGTGTGCTGCTTTTTACTACAAAAAATAAAAAATCTTTGTTTCTTCTCCCTGCTTTGCAGGGAGAAGAAACAGAGAGGTCGTCCCCTCTGCACAGAACCCTGTGTTGATTGTCAGCACAGGGCTGTGGGCTGTGATTGGACACCGCCCCATCAGCTGGTCCCTGCAGAGCTCCACTGATTTGTGTCTTTTTTTTTTTTTTTTTTTTTTTTAGAAACCTGAAAGTTAATAGACATTTTCTATTATTTTGGGGTTTAGGGTGAAGAACGGATTAATATAAAAGTTGAGGTTAAAGAGGAAGAAGAGGAGACGTATGTGGAGGGGGATCAGCCGTCTGCGGAGGAGGTCGGGATGATTATGAAGATTGAACAGGAAGAAATGTCTCCACCTATCCACACAGGTAAGTAGCGGACACTATGGAAATAACGGGTCGCAATATCATTTTACAGCTGAGTAGAAGGTTTGTAGTTCATGAAAAAATGTTTGATAATTAGTAGATCTTCCCATCGTCCAATTCCACATCCTCACAGTATGCCTCTATCTCCAGGGATGTGAGTCTTATGCTGATTTTCGCACCGTTAGTGGGTTAATTGGTCGGCAGTTTTTCCGGCTTTTTGCACATTTTTTTTATTGGGCGTGTTGGAAAATTTGTGGCCGATTTTGACTATGGGCCGATTTTCCCGGCAATGATGGCAAATCGGCCAATCGTTTTATTGATAAAAAATCTGCGCATGAGCTGTGACCTGCAAGAAGAAGAAAGGAGGAGAAGGCAGAAGAAGGAGGAGAAGGCAGAAGAAGAAAGGAGGAGAAGGCAGAAGAAGAAAGGAGGAGAAGGCAGAAGAAGGAGGAGGAGGAAGAAGAAGGAAGAAGAAGCAGGAGGAGAGGAAGAAGAAGGAAGAAGAAGCAGGAGGAGGAAGAAGAAGAAGAGGAAGGAGAAAGAAGAGGAAAGAGGAGGAAGAAGAAGGAGAAGGAAGAAGAAGAAGGGAGAAGAAGAAAGAAGAACTCCAGTCCGCTATTATATTTTACATGAAAGTATTGCGGTTGCAACAATGTATCCATTTGTATCCGAATAAAAACATCTGTATCCAAAATGGATACAAGTGGATACATTGTTGCAACCGCAAGACTTTTCATATAAAATATAATAGCGGAGTTCTCTGCAAGGGACAGAAGTAATTATGGGGTGAAATGCCGTCCATAGACAGGGCGAAAATCGGCCAATTTATTTAGCGTTGGTGGTAACGACGGCCGATCGAATGGCCGATTTTTTTTTTTTTTTTAGAACAGCTGGTTTTCAACCCGTCTATGGCCTGCTTTAGATTCGTACACAGAAGCCACTTATTCGTTTTATAATTGAATATCCTACAGGTAATTTATCCTGACGGTGGGAAGTAAGAAACTGAAACCTTGGAAGAGTATAAGGATTGTAATATAAGGAAAGTTCGATCATTATCAGATCTTCACGCAGTATACCCCGGCCGTGGGCCCGCCATGCAACAAGGGTTTCATTATCAGTTTTACTCCCTTCTATTCACTTCTAGTAATATCCAAACCGAGTTTGTCCATACAATAAAGATTTGAAACTTTGTATAAAAATCAAAATGTATATTTAACCTTTTTACTGCTACTGCCATATTTCTTAGAGTTGTGGTAGCAAGGGGGGGAGGGGGTTTTATACACACACCCAGCGGCTTTCTATTGAAAGTGTTCAAACAGCTGTACATTCCGGGTTTTGGTGACATTTTCCCTGGCCGCAAGGGCAATCTGCACTCCATTAGCTTCACCGTCCCCTACCCATCAGGGGTAGTGGACGGTGTCATAAAGGTGCACCCAAGCACTTTTCCCCTTACAATGGGGCTGTGCCCGCATGGCATAGGTCAACTGCCTGTTTTTGTCTAGAGGTTCAGGTAGCAGAGATATGCTTACCTAATCTGCCAATTCTAAAAAATATGTAGCAGAATACAAATGAGGAGGAGATACTGGACACCATATGAAAGGTCCATCTCCATTCCTCAATAGAACGTCATGTTCCCAACAAATGAGGAGATACTGGACACCATATGAAAGGTCCATCTCCATTCCTCAATATAACGTCATGTTCCCAACAAATGAGGAGGAGATACTGGACACCATATGAAAGGTCCATCTCCATTCCTCAATATAATGTCATGTTATCAACAAATGAGGAGGAGATACTGGACACCATATGAAAGGTCCATCTCCATTCCTCAATATAACGTCATGTTCCCAACAAATTAGGAGGAGATACTGGACACCATATGAAAGGTCCATCTCCTTTCCTCAATATAACGTCATGTTATCAACAAATGAGGAGGAGATACTGGACACCATATGAAAGGTCCATCTCCATTCCTCAATATAACGTCGTGTTCCAACAAATGAGGAGGAGATACTGAACACCATATGAAAGGTCCATCTCCATTCCCCAATATAATGTCATGTCCCCAACAAATGAGGAGGAGATACCGGACACCATATGAAAGGTCCATCTCCATTCCTCAAAATAACGTCATGTTCCCAACAAATGAGGAGGAGATACTGGACACCATATGAAAGGCCCATCTCCATTCCTCAATATAATGTCATGTTAAGCATTTCCACTTATTCCACTGACGGGGGGAGGAGCTAAATCTCCAGTTATTTGTGAATTCTGAGGTTTCTTCCATTTCTCTCCATCAGATGGCGCTGATGTCAGGAATTCCTCGGAGAGACGTCTTCTATTTGCTGATTGGAAGTCAGAAGATAATGCCATCACACAGGATTCTGCAGGAGTGAATCCAAATACACCCAATATTCATCACAGACCTTCCTGTCCGGAGACATCAAAGGATCCCTCTGATCAGGGGGAATCTTCTGACCAATCACATACTAGGAGTGCAAATGTCCATTTAGGATCTCACACTGCAGATAGACCAACAGATCCATCTAATCCCGAGGAATCTTCCGCACCCCATGAAGGAGCTCACCGAGGGGACAATCTGTGCTCATGTTCAGAGTGCGGGAAATGTTTCACTCGGAAAGGAGCACTTATTTTACACCAGAGAATTCACACGGGTGAGCGTACTTTCCCTCGTTCAGAGCGCAGCAAATGTTTTAAACGTAAGGGCACTCTTCGTACACACTACAGAATTCACACAGGTGAGCGTCCCTATTTATGTTCAGAGTGCGGGAAATCTTTCCTTTCTAAAGGAGAGCTTGTTAGGCACCAGAGATTCCACATGGGTGAGCGTCCATATTCATGTTCAGAGTGCAGGAAATCTTTCATTTTCAAAGGAGACCTTGTTAAACACCAGAGAACTCACACAGGTGATCGTCCTTATTCATGTTCAGAGTGTGGGAAATCGTTCACTGAGAAAAGGACACTTCTTATACACCAGAGAGTTCACACGGGTGAGCGTCCCTATTCATGTTCAGAGTGCAGGAAAACTTTCACTGAGAAAAAGATACTTCTTGTACACCAGAGAATTCACACAGGTGAGCGTCCTTATGTATGTTCAGAGTGCGGGAAATGTTTCACTCAAAAAGGAAGCCTTGTTGAACATCAGCGAATTCACACAGGTGAGCGTCCCTATTCATGTTCAGAGTGTGGGAAATCTTTCACTTCGAATGGAAGCCTTTTGCAACACCAGAGACGTCACATGGGAGAGCGTCCTTATTCATGTTCAGAATGCGGGAAATCTTTCACTCTAAAAGGAGTCCTCGTTAAACATCAGAGAAGACACACAGGTGAGCGTCCTTATTCATGTCCAGAGAGCGGGGAAGATAATCTTGTGAAACACCCGAAAATTCACACGGACGAGCGTCCCTATTTATGTTCGGAGTGCGGGAAATCCTTCACTTCGAAAGGAAGCCTTGTGCAACACCAGAGAAGTCACACGGGTGAGTGTCCCTTTTCATGTTTAGAGTGCGGGAAATCTTTCAGACTGAAAGGAAACCTTGTTATACACAAGAGAATTCACACGGGGGGAGCGTCCTTATTCATGCATGGAGTGCGGGAAATCCTTCACGCAGAAAGGACACCTTGTTAAGCATCAGCAAAGGCACGCCGCACAGCTCACCCAGAGGATTCACACGGGCGAGCATCCTTATTCATGTGCTGAGTGCGGGAAATCATTCACTCAAAAACGAAACCTTGTTAGGCATCAGAGAAGACACGTCACTCAATGCGTTCAGATTGCGGGAAATGTTTCACAGATAAAAGAAGTCTGATTGGACATCAGAGCGACCCCCCCCCCCCCCCTTTTTTTTTTCTAACTAATAGAACTGATTAGTCCATAGAACATCTGTTGGAAGGAAATGTTTAGTTTATAACGGCAGTGCATCCTGGAAAAAGTGATAATAAATGAATAGGTGGCCTTTGATTGGCCGAGTCTTCTTCTGGCTTCTTGTATTTTTTGGAAACTCCAGTGGTGGGTGGGATGTTCCTGATACAATTTCTGCCCCCCCCCCCCCAGTTTGTATCCCCATTTATCTTCTTTTCATTGTGCATACTTTAACCCCTCCAGTGCATCCCCCCCCCCCTTCCTGACCAGGCCATTTGTTGCGATACGGTGCTGCGTCACTTTCCCTGACCAGTGAGCGGTCATGCCACGCCGCACCCAAATGGAATGTACGTCCTTCCCCCCCCCCCCCCCCCCCCCACAAAATGGATCTATCTTTCGCTGGTATTTGATCGCCTCTGCGGTGGTAGAACTACCAGGGTCACAAAGGTCGTACTTGTGAACGGGCCCTGGCCTATTACCTCTGGGCTTGGAGGGAAGGGCCCCAGCCAGGGGGGCCCTAAATGGTTTCTCACAATGGGGTCCTGAGGTTTCTAGTTACTCCACTGATTCAGACCTTGTCACTTTCCTCATTAGAACCCTGCAAGTGCTGCAGCTAATTAATGGTAAAAAAAAAATACATAAAAAAACTACTGACACCAGTGGTGGAACTACCAGGGTCACAAAAGTCGTTCTTGCGACGGTCCTGGCGTTTTACCACCGGGCTTGGAGTGAAGGGGCCCTTCATGGTTTCTCCCAATGGGGTCCTGAAGTTTCTAGTTAAGCCGCTGATTCAGCCCCCTTCACTTTCCTCATTAGAACCCTGCAAGTGCTGCAGCTAAATAAATGGTAAAAATGGGGGGGGGATAGAGCACACTGCTTTCCTTTTTTTATTAATTTTTTTTATGCCTAGTATTGTTTTTGCAAGACCTGGTTCTAGTGGACCCAATTTAAGTTATCCAGCAAATATAAAGAACTGCTTGAAACCAGCGCCCCCTAGGTGAATGAACAGGGGTCCTTTTACTGTCCCCACCAGCTTCCCACCTTTTTCTTTCCATCCTCCACCCCTACTCTATGCCTCCTTTTTTTTTTTCTCCTCATCCATTATTATTATTATACTGGACTTATATAGAGCCAACAGTTTGCTCAGCGCTGTACAAAATGAAGGCCGACATTACAGTTACAATACAATTTGGTACAAGAGGAAACAGAGGGCCCTGATCCTGGGAGCTTACAATCTAGAAGGAAGGGTGGAGTGATAAAAAAGGTAATAGCTGTGGGGGGATGGGCTGATGGAGGAAATAAATGGCAGTTTACTAGGTAGAAGCAGGATAGACTTCTTTAAAGAGAAAGGTTTTCAGGGATCGTCTAAAGGTGGATAGATTAGGAGACAGCCGGACAGATTGGGGTAGGGAGTTCCATACGATGGGAGAAGCTCAGAAAAAGTCCTGGAGGCGAGCATGGAAGGAGGTGACATGGGAACTAGAGAGCAGAAGGTCTTGGGAGGGAGGAATGAAGAGAGCGGTTTGGTTGATATTTTGAGACCAGGTTGTAGCTGGGGGAAGAGTTGTGGATGGCTTTGTAAGTTGTTAGTATTTTGAATTTTATTCGTTGGGCGAGTGGAAGCCGGTGGAGGACACTGAGTGGAGGGATTGGCAGAGGGGTGGAGGACACTGAGTGGAAGCCATTGGAGGGATTGGCAGAGAGGGGTGGAGGACACTGAATGGGGGTCAGTGGAGGGATTGGCAGAGAGTCATGGAGGACACTGAGTGGAGGCCGGTGAAGGGATTGGCAGAGAGGGATGGAGGACACTGAAAGGAGGTCAGTGGAGGGATTGGCAGAGAGGGGTGGAGGACACTGAGTGGAGGCCAGTGGAGGGATTGGCAGGGAGGGGTGGAAGACACTGAATGGAGGCCATTGGATGGATTGACAGAGAGGGGTGGAGGATACTGAGTGGAGAGATTGGCAGAGAGGGGTGGAGGACACTGAGTGGAGAGATTGGCAGAGAGGGGTGGAGGACACTGAGTGGAGAGATTGGCAGAGAGGGGTGGAGGGATTGGCAGAGAGGGGTGGAGGGATTGGCAGAGAGGGGTGGAGGACACTGAGTAGAGACCAGTTGAGGGTTAGTCTATGTAAAGGTAAGCCAACGAGGAGGGAGTTGCAGGAACAAGCATTGCACATGCCCGCAGGGCCGCGTTGCGGCGCGATCTGTCACCGGCCGTGTCTGATGACAGATCTGAGTACCGACCCCGTTGCCGGTACCATGTGACCTGCTGTGACCAATCACAGCAGGTCACATGACAGTTGTATACAATGGATGGCTTCCTTTCATGCTATCCATTTTATACAAGTGTGTCTAGCTGTGAATGGTCACAGCGATCACATGCACAAGCTGGGCCAATCACAGCCCAGCTGTGTCGTGATTAGCCATGGCCAAATCATAGCTAAGCACAAAGAAAAAATGAATCAATTTCATTCAGATAAATGCTTGCTTAGAGCAACGTAATTCTTTGCTATAAGCAAATTGTGTAAAAAAAATAAATACTTATCACTTCCCCAAAGTAGTACAATGTTACTATGGTAATATTATACTACTTTGGTCATAGTGAAATATGAAAAAAAATCTTAAAAAAAGAGAAAAAAATGTGTCACCAGTCAGTGTCCCTGATCACCACCACATCAGTTATATGATGACACTGTGCTGCACTGGTGACAGTATGCAAAAAAAAAAAAATAGCGAAAATCATTTTTTTAATTTCTTCATTTTCCGAAAAATTATGACAAAAAAATAACAACTTCAAAAAAACTCCCATGCCTCTTATGAAGTATGTCAGACTGTCTACTTTGCAAAAAGGGGTAATTTGGGGGATATCTGTACTGTTCTGACATTTGGGGGATATCTGTACCGTCCTGACATTTGGGGGGTATCTGTATCGTTCTGACATTTGGGGGATATCTGTACCGTCCTGACATTTGGGGGATATCTGTACCGTCCTGACATTTGGGGGATATTTGTACCGTTCTGACATTTAGGGGGTATCTGTACCGTCTTGGCATTTGGGGGATATCTGTACCGTGCTGACATTTGGGGGATATCTGTACCGTCCTGACATTTGGGGGATATCTTTATTAATATACAGTATTTATACAGCGCCAAAAGGGTTTGCTCAGCGCTGTACATTTTAGTTGGGGACAGTACGTGAGACAATACAGTAACAAACAAAACACAAGGGGTTTGAGGGCCCTGCTCTTTCTAGTTTACAATCTAGGAGGGAGGGGATAGTGGCACAGGAGTAAGTGGCTGTGGGGGATGGAGTGGTAGGAGGCGTGGAGGAGATCGGCTGTTAGGTAAGGGCGGGGTAGGCTTCCCTGAAGAGATGGGTTTTCAGGGTGCGCCTAAAGGTGAGGAGGGTAGGTGACAGTCTGATGGATTGGGGTAGTGAGTTCCAGAGGATGGGGGAAGTCCTGGAGAAGTCCTGCAGTCGGGAGTGGGAGGTGGAGACCAGGGAGCTAGAAAGTAGGAGGTCTTGTGAGGAGCGAAGAGTACGGGTTGGGTGGTATTTGGGTATCAGGTCGGTGAGGTAGTTTGGGGCAGCGTTATGAATGGCTTTGTATGTCAGTGTTAGTAGTTTGAATTTGATGCATTGGGCAATCGGAAGCCAATGGAGGGAGTGGCGGATACGGAGCGGCTGGTAAGGTGGATGAGTCTGGCCGCTGAGTTCAGGATAGACTGAAGCTGGGATAGTCTGTGATGAGGTAGGCCGGTGAGGAGTGAGTTGCAGTAGTCCAGACGTGAGATAATGAGGGAGTGTATGAGTTGTTTAGTAGTATCTGGGGTTAGGAACGGATGTATTTTGGAGATGTTGCGGAGGTGGAGCCTGCATGAGCTTGCTAACGATTGGACATGGGGTTGGAAGGACAGATTTGAATCTAGAGTGACACCTAGATTCTGTACCATCCTGACATTTGGGGGATATCTGTATCATCCTGACATTTGGGGGATATCTGTTCTGTCCTGATATTTGGGGGATATCTGTACCGTCCTGACATTTGGGGGATATCTGTACCGTCCTGACATTTGGGGGATATCTGTACCGTCCTGACATTTGGGGGATATCTGTACCGTCCTGACATTTGGGGGATTGGGCCTTCCAAGTCACCAGAACTAGTGTCCCTATTGGACATTTTCCCCCTTGTGACAGACCCAACCGGGACATGGGCTTTCGAAGGGGACTGAAGGCTAGCCCCTTGCCATGCCAGCTTCCACCACCCTCTAGTGGCATCCAACCATAGAGGAGAGGTGCTATAACCACACCATGTATTGATGAGCTAATATGTGAGTTTTATTTATTTATTACAGATACTTATATAGTGCCATCAATTTACTCAGCGCTTTACATATATATTGTACATTCACATCAGTCCCTAACCCTCAAGGGGTGTACAATCTAAGGTCCCTAACTCACATTCATACATATACATACTAGGGCCAATTTAGACAGGAGCCAATTCACCTACCAGCATGTCTTTGGAGTGTGGGGAGGAAACTGGTGTACACAGAGGAAACTCACGCAGGCACAGGGAGAACATGCAAATTACAATCAGGTGGTGCCATGGTTGGGATTTAAACCGACAATCCTAGTGCTGCCAGGTGGAAGTGCTAACCATTCAGCCACTGTGCTGCTAGAGGCTCCCTTATTTTTA